TTTTTTTTTTTTTTTTTTTTTTTTTTTTTAATGTGTTGTTAGCCCCAAGGCTGAGCATCCATCACCCAAGAAAAGGTCCAGGGATGGCAACCACCTTCCCACAGGTCCCTCAGAATCCCCAAAACTTTCTCTGCTGCTGCCACATCTCTGGGGATCATTCCTTTATCCTGCCCTGCCACATGATCAGCAACAGGAGATGCTTTTTTTTTGGCCTTCTGTGGCCACAGTCTTAGCTAACTGAGATACATTAAACCCTTCTCAGAGAAGCTTAAAAATTCAGCAGGTGATTTGTTACAAACAACTGCAGTAGCCCCAGCTTAATTTAAGGTTCAAGATTTTTTGCTCATGCATCATTATCACAGTAAAATATTTAACACCGATGAAATCTGGGCACCATAAAACTCAAAGCATGTTTTATGCCTTGCTGACACTGAAAGTTAAATACGACTGTATTCAGAGTCACACTTCAAGGAGTAATTTCCATATTTTTACTGTTGCACCAAAAAGACTGTTTCTGTTTTTAATGCCACTGCTTATCAATAAAAAGCAAACAAACAAGAAAGCGAGACAGCTTCACTTTCTGAAGGAGCGAAATGGGATTTTGTGTTCAGCCCTTGGGTACCAGCGAGCTGACAACTCCTGCATTTGCTGGGGGACAGCTGAGCGTACGCGCTCCGGCAAGCTGTTAACATATCAGCGATGATATGTGAGCCTGTGAAGGTAGTCTGTAGTTTAGAGAATATTCAAGCATCTTTCTATGCTCTTTTGCTTGTCTACTTACCCTTTATATTGCTTTTAGTACTGCCAAAATGATAGTAAGAGCCTGGGAGTGCACGTGCAGAGGAAGGGTGATGCGTGTGCAGCTCCTGTGCGTAGGAGGCCAGGCAGAGCCTCAACCGACCTCTCCTGAACGGCTGTCTGCAAATCCATGGGGAATTGGACTTAACAGGCCCACCTAAACGTGGTAAAATTGCCTAGCCTGACCTTGGTGTGGCACACTGCCCTTAGACAACTGCCTCTGGCTACTGATGATGGCACAGCAGAGAACGTGGCTCCTCGCTTCCACGGTGAAAGGATGCTCATCCTCTCACTGCTCTGCAAGTTGCCTCCACTTCTCCACTTCAGTCCCATACCAGTAACACGGTGCAGAGCTGAGGCCCTTGCTCTATTTAACACATTCCCTCAGGCAGCAATGTGAAAGACTACTGCTTAAAAAGAAAAGGGGGATCCTCTGCTCTGCACACCCGTGGAGGCACCAAAGCGAGTGGGCTGTTACTGCAGCATGGAAGGACACCACGGACACCAGCAGAAGAAGTTGCTGCCCAAGGCAGCTGCTGTGTCCCCGTCACTGCACATGGTTACAACTACGGAACACAAAACTCCCCATCAGGACTGACACAGGTGCTGCTTGGGCTGGARAACAGATCGCTGGCATCCTGGAGTCCCTCTCAGGTCTGTCCATGCACATCTTTGAGCAAAGGGAGTCGGAGCATTAAAATACCAACAGCCTTACAAAATACTGCAGCCTTTGGTAAAGGCTCTGTCTGTCATAGAAACAGACCAGTGTCAAACTGATTCAGCTCATTTCACCTGGCCAAATCACGCCTGGGCAAACAAGTCAAATCCTTGATTTGACTGGATCCCCCTTCAGTGGGTGTGTGACCTCTGAGGGGTCTCTGGTGCACCCTGCAGATTAGGGCAAGCCTAATTCAAGTTGCACTCCTTCTTGGGAAGATATACTTTTCAAAGAAAGATTCTTCCAGTGGATTTCCCTAAACAAGATAATAACAGGACATATGCAAGCCCCAGTCAGAAATTTGCTCTGGATACATTCTTGAAACCAGGTCCATTTTGTTTAAATTTTATCTTGGAAAAATCTTTCAAGAGCCTATAAATCTAAAAGGTTTGCTACAGTCATTGGAGAAAATCCTAATAACACTAACAGGGAATGTGAAAGGAGCTCTCATTCTCTGGTATCACTGAAGACTTACATGCTATATTGAAGAATAAAGTATCCATGTCCAAGCAAAAAATGGTTTAGGTAACTGCACTACCACAGTAGTAAATGCACAGCAAGCAAATATTGTTAGTACTACAGTTGTGCATGTTTCACCTGAGTTTACATTCCTGTTTCTCATGTACATGTGGAAGAATGAAATGCATAAACATGGGATAGCTGCCAGCACAGAAAATAATTTTCATTCTAATAAACCACAGATAACACTATCATGCAAAGCCTCGTTCCACAGTTTGTTTAATACATACTTGTTGTTGATAAATGCATTAAAACATAATTCCTGGGGAAAAAAAATAGATTTCTTCAAAAAATTAGTACCTGAATGAGAAAGACATGTTATCCTTCACATCTTTGTACGAAATACTGCTGCTGTGATTGTAATTAGTATCTCTCAGTTAGAGGCTGGCCATTTATTTCTGAATGGGCATTGATTACACTTTCATTAGCAAATAACTTGGCACCATAGGAACACATGGGCAGATGGAGGCATTTGGTGCTCAGGTTGCTCTACCCATGCTGTAACTCCTTGGAGGCCTTTATTTCTCACTGGATTTAGTCACCTCTCCTGAATGTCCCCACCACTTAACTGAGGAAGAACAGATCTCTGTACAACCAAGAACCACTGGGAACACGGACCACAAACCAATATTGATACTAAAAAGTTGGCAAGATCTAAAAACCTTTGCTAAGCCCAGCTGGGTGGAGAATGAGTGAATAACAGCATATACTTTGGGAGAAAATGGCTTATAACAATTCCTAAAGCATGCAGTGAAATGCTTTCTGGATCAAGCACTGTGATTTAGAGCTCATTGAAGAGGACTGCGCTCCACAAGAGCATTCTGAGCACACGGCTTCACTGGCTGCTTTTCTTCTACAACATACACACATACATTCCTGCATAATGTACACGTTTTTAATAAGTGCATCTTTTTCGGATCTTCAGGACAGCTCTTCAAGTCTTACTTTTCTATTCTCTTTGAAAAAAATACAATTTTAATGAAACAAGGAATTACACAGAAAGCCTGCTTGGAATGTAAAAATACTATTTTCTGCTCAATAAGTTCATAGCGTGACAGAATAACTGTCAGGAAAAATAGACTTAATGTAGGTAAATCTTCTATAAAGCATACATCTATCACACAGCAATTTTAGTAGAAATCTTCAAAGCCTCCATTAAAATTTCTGTCCAAGTCTTGGCAGTCTTGAAGTACTAGCACAGTATTATATGATTTGAGGAAGTTTAAATATTTCTCACTTAATTTGACCATAGTCAGGTCTCAGCCAGGGACAGGAACAGGAAGAGAGGAAGTAGGGGCTGTTACCACCAAACAAAATGAGTTGTGTATTTTAACTTCATGCAATTGTCACGTTTATTTTCCATTGAGGTGAATTTAAAGCCCATTAATTTCCATGTTTTCATTCAAAAAATATGGCGATAGCACAAGCTTGCTGCAGGAAACTGTTTAAAATCACTTTACAAGTGAAGAGACTGACAGTACAAAACCTCTCATTTAGAGGTCCAAGGGCCAATGGTCAAGCCCACAGAATTCTGATAACTTCTGACAGGTCCTTTCAATTGTATAATAGTAAATAAAGCTAATAACTATAAATAGCAAATAAATCAACAAGCGAATAAATCAACAACACATTCTTTGCAAACATGAATAACTGTATAACACAGCCCATAAATGCTGCTATTAATTCTATTTTCCTACCTGCAAAGGGAACAGGCGCATCTTTATCTAAAGCAACGAGAGGCGGATCCAGAATCACACTGTCGGTGTTCTCCGTTATGATCCCATGGTAGGATGTCTCAATCCAGGGTTTGTGTTTATTCACTAGAAAAGAAAATAAATACTATAATTGAGTTGATTCATATTTTACACCCAATTAACTCATTTTTAAGTATGTAACATATTGCCAAAATTAATATTACTCAAAAGCCATTTACAAAAATCTCCAAGTACTTAATAAATATACAAAATTTATTCTCGATATGTATAGCGCACCATAATTCACTGTCAAGAATAATAAAACTAACAGATCCCTCTGATTAAGATGCCAAAATAAAAAGGCAATTTTCAAAATAATTTTGACATATCCCGACTGTCACGCATAATCAGCGTTAGTCTTTTTCTCAACATTGTGGTAAAAGTCTGATCCAAGGGAAAGGATGTCCATGGAAAAGCAATTCTACCACAACTCAGCAGGAAGCAGGAGGGCAGCTGAGGGGCATTTTTTTTCTCTTTTGGAAAAACACTCAAAGTCACCTTTTTCTCTACACTTCTTTTTCAAGAACAAAAAGGAAAACCTCATTTTAATCACTTTGATCAAAAGAAGCCACTTCTCTGTTCACCTAGCTTTAGTTAACAGGTACAAAAATCCCAAAACATTAGGTATTATTAGCAGGTGTTGATGATGTGCAGCTTCAAAACAACAGTAAGTACCGCACAAGAAGTAATTTTAAATCTAGCTAAAAACAGGCAAAATAATCTCCATCAGATGTATAAATTTCAAATAGTCTAATATTTTTCCCCTTCTACATTGTTTTTGAAAAATCTGTTTTCAAATGTGAAGCATAGACAGTTGTGCTTCTCATTTTGATCCATTTTTATTTTTGAATATCCTGGAAACTATGTGAAAGTTGCATTTTTTCTTATCTACRTTAAAGACGGCCAAACTTTAGATCAAGTTTCTAAGGACATTATTTATGATGCCATGCTGCATTTATTTAAAAATGCAACAGAAAAGCATATAATGCTATCTGTTTAACACTATATTAAGCTATGCTAATCTGCTTAAATAGAAAAAAGAAATTCATAGAATTTCGTTTAAGAACATAAGAATATTTTGAGACATTAATTAGAGCCTCTTGGAGATTAGTATCTATGTGTGTCTCAAACTTTTTTAAGTGTGGAATTTTTGTATATTAATCTTCAAAAGGGAAGGGAATACGTTAAGAACAAATATTTCAATGTTTCTCATTACTCTTCAAAGATAAGAATGTATTTGATAAAAGAAAGTGATAGAAAAAGCAACTGGGGATTTGCATTTGCTAAAGATGACAGAGGAAGCACGTATACTTGTTTGCATATAAAAGTTTCACGCTCAAATTTCCCTAAAGAGCTGCCTGGGTAGAAGCTGAAACTCATACTAGGGTTTCATAAATTCAAACTTGTGCTCAGTTAAGAAGTACAGAAGAAGAATACCTATAGTTGGCTTTTTAACTTCCTTCCCTTCCTATATTTTATTAGCCATCCATATAAAACTATAATGTAAATAATTTGTAGCAGCTAGGATAAGACAATTAATCTTTTTCCATAATTACAGTTAGAGGTCAATTCATTAAATTCTGTACGCACCATTTACACTGCCTTTCCACAGAGTGTGCTGCCAAAGCCAGTGATTACAAGCCTCTGGATTTAATTAAACCATCTTCCTAGAAAACTGCCACTCCGTGTGCCATCTGCAAATGCATTTGCCATGCAAAACACCGAAGGGRGGAAAAAAAAGGAAAGAAAAACTAAGGCCTTCTGTGGAGCCTGCAGGAACCACCGCACTCCTGCAAGTTGCAGCTTGAAAGTCAAACCAAGGACTAAATGTAGCAGCAGGACACAGAAGAGCTGGGGGACGCTGAGAGCTCAAAACCCCGCAGAGAGGCGCTACTCCTACACGGGGTGACACGCGGTGGGGACACGGAACAAGGACACTGCTGGGGTCCCCGGGTCAGCACTGGCGCCTGTGGGACCACCGTCGCTGACCACAGGGCTTCAGCAGCTGCAAAGCAAATACTGACCTGCACTGGCCTCTCCTGCAAGCTGCCCATTGAAGGGCCCTTGGCCAGGGCTATGGCCCAGGCACATGGTCGCGAGCAGGGTCACAGCTGGATCATCCCACAGGCACAAGGCAGGAAGGCTGCACCTTGTGATGAGGAGCAAGCCAAAAGAGATGCTTACTGCTTATGAGGTGAAAAAACTCCTTGGCAGCAAGCAGTGAAGGTACAATAAATATAGCACAGTGATTAGAACTGTCACGAATGGCAAAAAATGCCTTGGAAGCAAACTACAAAAGGAAGAAAAGTGAAGATTGGGAGTTGGGACTGACTGCAGACACTACAGCAGAGGTAGCATCATCTAGCTGATTATCCACTGATTTCTAAATATTAAAAAGCTAAAATTTGAGGTAACAAATTATGTGAGTTAAAGACCGTTCTGTGAACACAAACATTTTCTTTCTTTCTTCCAAAACAGTATAATGAATCTATTTTCCATTTAAACGTGTTGATAATATGCTCTCTCATCTCTATCTCTTAGCTTAAAGAGKGGGTTGATTGCAGCATAATTTGCAGAAAATTTAGGCTTTCGTACCTCCTGGCTCAGTTCTTTCAGTCCTTTTGCCTGCTAACTCAAGCCCTTGGAAGCAATGAAGCTTTTCCTTGAAAGGCAGCAGACACCAAGGATGCRCACAGACTTCCAAGCGTATGCCCCAAATCCCACTGGCTTCTGGAGAACAGAAGCAGTGGAAGCTCCTGCCTTCTCTGCACTACAGCACATTTCCCAGCTCTTGTACAGACAAGTGCAAGTACTTCTAATGTCCTACTCAGATACTGAGTAAATAATAACATGCAAAGCCCCACAGAGGCAGGTGACACAGGACACTGACAATGTGTGCTCACCAACACTGAGACTTCTCCTCCATGTGGATGTCAACTAGTTCAGCAGCACCCTCCCTATTTGGGGTAACACTTTGCTGGGAAATCACCTCCAGATGATTGTGGAGTTGGCAAGAACTCCAGCTCCAGCCCAGTATTTCAAGTATTTCTGAGAGAAAAGCAATAGAAAAACAAGCTTTTGCATTGCTGAAATGCAAAAAAAAAAAAAAAAAAGACCCAAAATAACCAAAGACAGGAACCAAATCTGCATCTCAGAGCAGCAGCTGAGGAGAAAGCCCAGCCCAGAGATGCGAACGGGGGCTGAGGTGGCTGCTGACACTGGGATCAGGAGTTTGGCAAAGACCTCAAGCCTGCTGTGGGAAGGCAGAGCAGGCAGGCAGATGGATGAGGGCACTTTGCAGGAAAAGAAACCCTATGTGGCTATTGACAGAAGAATTCCAGAACTTTGGTTCCCAACCCACAGAGGAGATTCAACATTCAAACATATTTTATACCTTTTGCCAAAGAAAAATTGTAAAGAAGAAATTTATTCTTCCCAGTGTGTCACCATACACTGAGTTCTCTGTGTGATGCCATTGCCTGACTTACTGAAACTCCCCTAGTTACAATCTGGGTTCGCTTTTAGATAGATGACTTGAAATTATAATGTTTTATGTGCTTTTACATAAAATAGTAATTTGAAATTCCCGTCCCAATTAAGTCAATGGGAGTTTTGGCACCGAGTTCAGTTAAACTGGGATTTATCTGACATACCTGATCTGACTCCCCCATAACTCTTCAGGGGACGTCTCAGCTAGAGAATAGATCATAACCAGCGCATCTCAGCAACACTAAAAGACTCACTGGAGATACTAAAGATAATTTGGACTGGTTTGATCATACATCACAGTAAAGAGCTATTTTGCGTATGACAGACCGCACAAGAAAGTTTCCAGCAATTAGAATGTATTCTCGCCCCAGTGCAAAAGCCTTGCAATAAAGACAACTTCAACTAGCAAAATTTTCTAGTCAAGAAAAGGGGGAAGCTGTGGAGCAGGGCTTTGTTASTAGCTCATTCTTACTACCAACTTTTTAAGACAAAAGTTAGATCTTCTGTAAGGAAATTAGTAATATTAGACTGCAATCTATTGTCTATTTCTAAAGTAAAATATATTTTAAAATAAAAATTCATATTTATTCTGGTAGAGCTACACAATTTTTAAGCACATAGGAATTGCAATCAGAGCAAATTGAGTCATTTCTGACTTAAAATAAAATTCAGCTTCAGACTTCAGTAAGAACTGCATACTCCAGCTGTGAAAACACTTGCAGTGGAGGAAAACAAACTCTCATACTAAACCTTTCTGGATTAGTCACATTTAACAAGCACACTACTTCCAACGCATAAAGCGCTGAGCTTCCCATGTAAGACACCAATAAAGCAGCATTTCCCCCTTGCCAAGATGGAGTTCTTTAAAAAAAAATATTTTTTAACACTATGTTCTGAATTGTACCATCCTTTACTTATGGCTGAGTGGCACTTAGAAAGGCGGGACACCTTCCCAATTGCAGTGAGAACAAAATGCTTTTCCCACGTAAGATTCTTGCAACAAATGAGCTCCCATCAACAGAGTGAAGAAATCACTGCTTTTACTAAATGTTTTTAAGCTCTTTTTTCCCCTCAGCTTGACGGCTACACAGCTCTTCGTTGCTACTACAGCACAAGGCCTCTCCTCTTCCYGCGCCGCTGCGAGGGGCTACCGGGCACTTCAGAGGGGTGCGGGCGTCCGGTGCTCAGCGAAGACACGCCGCTCACCCGCCGCTGCAAGGCTACCCATTGCAAAGATGCTTAAGTGATATATTTAAGTAACAGGATAAATAATGATATTTCTTACACTCACACACCTCATCTCCACATTGCTGCCAAGAGTATACAATTCTTGTATACACATAACTCCTTAGTTTTAAACAGCAGAGAATACCTTTTGTCCAACAAAGGGCAGCATATGCTCCTTCCAGTTGTCCGGTCACCTTGGCTATGGCTGTTCAAAGCTGCCTCCTACACAGCTGCCCAACACCTCTGCACTAGCCAAGACCAGACCTTTGAATTCTGGTRCTAATGGCTACCTAATTACTGTGGATCAGTCATATTTTTGTTTGGGTAATGCAACATTCTCAAAAATTTTA